GGTCGGTCACTTGCGAATCCATCGCACAGAGGCTGGCGAACCAGTGCCTGGAGCACCCATCTACATCCATCGCACTCGCCTTCGCTGCCCACATTGCCCTCGCACTTCCACGCATCGCATGGGTCTCTTCGGCCACATGCGCATCCACGAACACCTGCGGTAGACAACCGCCGGCTGCATCACATCATCACACCCTCCCTCCCTCACCACCACCACCACCAACGCCACCCCACCACACATCAACACTCACCCATCGTAAGCACCCAACTGCCACCTCCCACGCAAGTGGGAAGTGCGCATCTCGACTCGGTCTCCATGCGGCTTCGGCTGCACGGGCGACTCGAGTCTGAGACTATCCCGACACGTCAAGCGTCGTGGATAGGAAGGCTGCTGATTGACGTCCCCACTCGGTCCACGCAGTCCGCCCCGTTGTGTGTGCGCGTGTGTGTGTGTGTGTGTGTTGTGTGGAGTGGCAGACTGATGGGCTGGGAGACGGGCTGAAACAGCACCTTCCACGGCCCTCTCACGTAAGTGAGAGACACGCCGTCCAACCCCTGTTTCGTGAAATACTGGTGTGCATTTGTCTGGGGGGTCAGGTCGTGCATGTGTCGCACGCAGGCATGCTCAGTCGACCAAAAGCCCATACACACGCGTATCGCGATATTCTGCCGCTGCATGGCGCAGCTGCGAGGGGTTCGGCTCGTCAGTGGGTCCCCCAGCGTTCCCCGTCTGTTTTCTGGCAGATACTCCAATTTAGAAACTGTCGCTTTTTAATTTCCTCAGACATTAACTACGAACTTGGAGTATACCATTTTATTCAAGGTCTATAGACTCAGACTGAGATTTTTATGTATGAATATTTGGGCCGAAGTCCATCAGCCACAGCGGGTAACCGCACAATATTCATTAACGACCGAAAGGCAGCTAGTAGTATACTTTAGGGCAAGGTGATATTATAGTAGCAGCAGCAGAATATCGGCGAAACACGTGTGTACGGGCTTTTGGCTAGTACCTGTGCTGTTATTATGGTATCACCTTGCCCTAAAGTATACTGCTAGCTGCCTGTCGGCCGTTGATGAATATTATGCGGTTACCCGCTGTGGCTGATGGACTTCGGTCCAAATATTCATATATAAAAATCTCGGCCTGAGTCTATAAGCCTTGAATAAACTGGTCTACTCCAAGTTCGTAGTTAATTTCTGAGGAAATTAAAAAGCGACTATTTACAATACTGACAACACAGATACTAGCTAAAAGTCCTTGCACGCGTGCTTCGCTGACCTTGTACCTCAACCTGACGCAGCTGCGAGGGGTTCGGCTGACCAGTAGGTTCCCCAGCTTTCCCAGTGCGTTTTCTGGTGTGTGAACTTCAGTTTCACCTTGTCTTTTTTTCATTTTCGAGGAGATTGACGCGTGGACTTAAAAAAATTGTTTGGATTGTGCCTGAACTGATCTCTTTAGAAGAATTGACCGCAAGTTCGCGCATTACTTTCCTGGGGAATGAAATAAGACAAGGTGAAACAGGAGTTCATATACCAGAAGAACAAACGGGGAGGGCTGGAGGATCCACTGAGGAGCCGAATCCCTCGCAGCTGCGTCAGGCAGCGGCACAAGATCGGCGAAACACGCGTGTCTGGGTTTCTAGCTAGTACCTGCGTTGTCAGTATGCTAAATAATTACACAAAGGGAAGATTGTCAACTGCGTGGAAGACGGACACATCAGTTTTCGCAACTGTTGTTTGCCTTCAATAGGTTTCAGTTGTTTCACATCACGAAAAAGTAAGCGTATGCGTCGGAAGAAATATTAAGTTTGGCCAGCCAAAAGTCGGTCCTGATCGAATTTTAATGGAACACCATTTGAAGCGTTCTAGATGGGTTTTGTGTTCCATTTGGCCGTTTATGACCATCGGCATGCAATGTTACAGATCAGTAAGATGAAAACCTGATTTCAGGAAAGAACTGCGGTGGCCGAATGTGCGGAGGCAATGCAGGCAGTTGGGTCGAGTGCGTCTGGTGTGCGCTGGTGCTCCAGGCACTGACCCGACAGTCTCCGAGAGATGGATTCGCAAGTGATCGACCAGGCGGAGGTGAATATGCGGGGACAGTGTGCACAGCGTAGGTCAAGAGCGGCAAAGACGG